CTGCCCCTCCCCCGTTCATGCTCTGTCCCTCTCTGTCCCAAAAATAAATAAAAAACGTTGAAAAAAAATTAAAAAAAAAAATAAAACAGGCATTGGAAATTCATTACAGTTCCATTGTTACATATTTATATATATATATAAAGATATATGAGATAGTGAAGTTGGCTTCCTGCAGGGAAATATCAAGGAGTGGGAAATGCAAACCCTAGGAATGAAACTTGAAATAATTTGGGGGCGCCTCAAAAATTAATGACTCAGTTAAGTGTCAGAGTCTTGATCTCAGCTTAGGTCATAATCTCACAGTTGGTGAGTTCAAGCCCCACATCGGGCTCTGCACTGATGGTGCAAAGCCTGCTTGGGATTCTGTCTCTCCCTTCTCTCTGCCCCTCCCCTGCTTGTGTGTATGTGTGTGTGTGTGCGCACACCCATGCTATCTCTCTCTCAAACTTAAAAAACAAACCTTGAAATATTTTTATCTACTGAAAGAAACCAGTGAATATAATTCTTATATGTTATCCTTAAACAACCCCATCCCCCAACCCCCCAATCGTAGGAAGCAGCCTGAGTTTTGGATAGAAGTCACAGCTCTGCTACCTGCTGATTGTATGGCCTTGGACAAGTCACTAAATGTCCTACCCATTAGTTTCCTCATCTGAAAAATGGTGGTCATGGTAACTACTTGTAAAATTGTTATGAAACTTGAAATTAATATATATATATATATGTATATATATGGCTAGTAGCTGGGACTCTGCAGGCTTTTATCAAGTGATTTATTATTATCAATAATCTGGGTGTCATCATGTCTCTGCCGTCTTTGGTGGGTTTCTTGAGCTGAGCTGCTAATCTGTGAGATGGGACTGTGGTATCTCTCACATGGGGTTGCTGTGTGGATAAGAGAGATCCTGAGTGTAGCCCCACCACAGTGCAGGGCTCCAGTGGTGCCAGTGAGATGTTAGGGCAGGGCTGCCTCAGCCTAAGTTCAAAGGACTGTGGAGACGGAGACCTCTCTTCCAGACACTGGTTTTTGTTTTTGTTTTTTTCATGATCATTTCAGAATGATCACAGCCTGGAATTGGATCAGGGAGTCACTTGAGCTGCCAGATAGTTAACTGCCCCTGCCTCTGGTTCCCTTTTCTTCCAGTCCACTCCTTGGTCATAAATCCAGGCCCTGCACTGACACAGGGAAATTAGGAACCTAGACCATTGTTTATTTGGTTCCCTGATAGAAGATTGGCTCTCTCTCAAAACACTAGACTCTCAAAAATCTAGAACAAGCAAGTGGGAAGGAAAAGTTTTCTTAAGAAAACAATAAAAGCCAGCTGGAATCATCCAGATGAAGAGACCTCAGGTCTTTGAGGAGCTAGGATTCTTTGGGCGAATGCTTCAGATGGGATTTTTGGTGCTAAGCCAAATAAGAGGGAGATTTACTATAGTCACACTGCTCTTCCTGTTAGCCCAACCTGTGCCCCCATTTCCCCCACAGTGCCTGCCTTGTGCCTCTCTCTGCTCAAGAACTATGCTGATTCCCTGCTCCCAGAATTCCACTGCTGTGGCCTCTCTCTGGGAAGGGTTCCCACCGAGTGCTGTTTGGGAAGCCCGGCCTCTGCCCAGGGCTGCCCAGTGTTAGGCCCAGGGATTACAAAACACTCACCTCGGACATTTGCAAACACGTCTTCGGTTCCCTGGATAAGAAAAAGAAGGGGTAAAGTGACTGACCCCCCCCTCCACCAATAGTCCCCAGATAGAGTTTCTCCCTCCCTTTTCCTATTTCTTTAGGATTTTAACTTTTGAGAGCCAGGTAAGGGAGTTTTCCTTCCCTCTTCTCATCAATTTTAAAAAGCATTGAAAATACAGATGTGGGTTAAGATGGGTTAGTACAGTCACCCACGGTGGGACCCAAAGTAGTAGGGGATTCGCGAGGAGGCGGCTAAGGGTCAGTCTCAACTCGTCATGGTTTTTGACCAGCCTTTCTGGGCACTGGTCCCAGGGCCACAGCGGCAGACTCCCCCGCGGCCGTTTGTGATAAGCCAGGATCTGTGCGCTGCCTTGTCCTTAGCCAATGGACTCACCACAGCTACGGCCCCTGGGATAAGGGCTCTGTCGTCGGGAAAATGTCCCGGAGAGTGGAAAGCAGAGGGACAAGGGACTTTCTCGAGTTCTGTCTCCAGGAAAAAAATGGGCTCTGCCTTACCCTACAGTGCAGCTCGGAGTCCCAGAAATCTCCATCCTGTCTGCGGGCAACGGCTGCCTGGAGCAAGCCGCGGAATCGGAGCCAGTGGAGCAGACCGCTTCCCGTAACTCCGCGCTTCCCTAGGACTTACTGTGGTTGCAGATGACGGTGATGACCAGCGACAGGAGAAGGAAGGCGCAGGTCCCAGCCAGGGGTGCCCAGATGTAGATGTCACAGGACAAGTCCAGCCCACTTGCTTCCACTGAAGACACCGAAAACGCCGACATTTAGGAGCCGGCCCGCGATCCTCTCACCCCATACCACCAGTTGGGCCTGTCTCTCGGGTCCGGGTCTGTTTTCCCACCACGTGGACAGCTTTCGCCTCTACCTCCAGGATCAGGGCTGGCCCTAGCAGGGGCTCTCCCTGCGGTCCGCACGGCCCCTGGCCGGTTCCCGCCCCGGGACCTTGTGCCTGTCTCACCTGTGCTGCCCGCTGAAGGCTGGCAGGTCCCCGGGCGCAGAGACACCCGCTGCGACGTGGTGATGGGCGCCTGCGTGGGCGGTCGCGGCGCGGGCGTAGTGGTGGGCTTGACTGCGGGAAAAACACAGCCTAGTTGGAGTCGGACCGGGGACATCTACCTTAACCCTCCCCACTGCCCCACGCGCCTCTGCCCCAGGGGGCGCCTCCTCCGCGCTCGCGGATCTCTGCACTCAAGGCGGGGAGACGGATTAGGGACTTCGAGGATTCGCGCTCACCCCTTTGCGGCGCGCGCGGTACCCTGCCGAGTCCCCGGCTCCGCCAAGCGCACCCGGCGCCTCGGACCGGAACGCAGAAGCCCGCTCCCGGTCACCCAGCCTCTCTCCATGGCTCAACCCGCAAGCTTGCGGGCTTGGGTTGATATCCGCCGGTCACTGACGAGCAAACGCTGGCTCACAGAATTTAAGTAACTGCCCAGGAGTAGACGAGCACCCGAACTCGAGCCCAAATCGGCCGGACCTAAGAAGCCATCTTCAGCCTCGACCCAGCCGCACCTTAGCCTCAGCTTCCTCGTCTGTGAAATGGGAGCAGTATTAAGGAGCCCCCCCCCCCCAACACACAAGGTCTCTAAGAGGCTCGAAAGCGGGGGGTTCGTGTGAACACGGGTTCAGAGAGGAGTCCTAAACCGCACACCGAGAGGTGCCGCGCCCTGGGCGCTCGGACCTGGCAGGAAGACCGGGACG